GGGACCGCCCGGCCGCCCCACAGCTGAGGGTGGCAGCGGTTGTCCTCAAAGGGCAGGACGTGCCCTGCCTGCCTCCCTCCTGCTGAGCTTGGCATCCCCTAAAATCAAAACGAATGACTCCCCAGACCTAGCATCAGGTCAGCCCAGACCTTAAGCCTACCGCCATCGTGTCTGCCGTATGGCTTGACCCACAAATTCAGTGTCCCCGCTGCTAGTGCCTCTCGCAAAGCCCTGCCCAGACCTTGCGGTGGCCCAGATCAGCACAGGGAGGTGGCAAGTGCACGAGGGTGTGCTTTCCAGGGGGGATTCGGGAGGGAAGGACAGCTTTTTTGCACCCACAGCTCCAGGCACAGAGAAGACCTGTTGCCTGTCATGGGACTGTTAGATTGCATTTTTCTCAGCCCCGGTGATGGTTTCACTTGTGGCACTTGAGGAGCACTGTCTACCTGCTTCCTTGGGCTGCCCCGGCTTTGCATGAGACCAGTCACACAGAAGGAGGTCAGGCATGGGGACACTGGGGCTCCATGCCTAGTCCAGGGTCTGGGCCAGCCTTCTTCAGCAAGACAGAAAAAACAGGTCAACGCTTGCTCGCTCTGGTGCCCTCCTCTGTCTGTGGGTTTGTCTTGTTTTTTTCTTGAAGGGGGAATATTCAGATTTTAGAGCTGACCGCAGTGAACCCAAAGAGCCTGTTACTGTCTCCTCTTGCACCCAAAGGACAGGCTTCAACTTGTCTTTAACCCAAGCTAAATACCACCGGGAAGGCTTTCTTCCCCTTATAAAGAAAAGAAATCCACACAGAATGTCGGTAATACGTGAAATCTTTCCTTTTTGTTTAGAAATGCTGTGGCTGATTTGTTTTCCTTCTTTTTCCAGCCTTTGAAAGTGACCGTTAGAAAAAGGCTTGAAAGGTTTTAGATGCCACTTGCCATGAGACCTCTCGGGGCTGCTCTCGGCTGCTGACCCTGATGGTGACACGTCTGCTTGGGGGTCCAGCGCTCTGAGCCAGCTGGACGCCCCACAGGACATGAGCCGGGGGCTCCAGAAGCCGCAGTCTTTCAGCCTCGGGGCAGTCTGTGGTGACAGATGGAGTAGCTGCTCCCAGGGAAGCTCAGCTGTTGTCAGCTGAGTAGTGGAAATGGAAGGGAAGGAGCTGGTGCCTGAGGGACATTTTATCCTTGAGAGAGGCTGGTGGGGGGAGGCTTTTAGAAATGCCTTTCCTCTCCTGCTGCTCTCTAGTTGCCCAAGGGTTGGCTGTTCTTATCCTCCCATCCTCCTTGGCTGCTTCCCCTCCTGCTCTGTTCTGCTCAGCCTTGCTGCAGGGATTGGTGCATCCCTGCCCCCTTCTCCACAAGCTTTGCTTCCCAGGGAGGCTGGAGGAGAGGGAGGCACAGTGCCATGCCACACAGAGCCTGCGGTCCTGGCCATGGAGTCAGCACCTTCTGCTGTCCCCCATGCCACAGCTGCTTCCTCTCTCACACAAGATGTTTTCTTTGTGTCTGGTAGCTCCATCCCTCCCGTCTGTCCCTGGGAGAGAGCAATGGGATGTGAGAGCCAGAGCCCCCCTAGAGAGATGCCCTGTCCCAGGGCTGCAGGCACTAGCTTTAGGGTGGTTTGGGGACACATGTGCGTTAAGGACTGGGGGTGCTTTGCTGGTGCACAGCCTTGCTTCAGTGAGAGCTTTGCATGGCCTCTCGTGACACCCGCTGTGTGTGTGGCTTCGTCCTCTCACCCATGGGCAGGTTTTGAGGCAAGCGTGAGCCTGTGTCGTACGTGGGACATGGTGCTGGTGTGTGCCTGACTGCCATCGGTACGTTTATGAGGGAATCTCAGGTTTCATCACAAATTAGCGAGGCCCAGACATCATCACCGCAGCGCAGACACCTACGCAGCGGAGGATGCCGTGCTTGTGCTTTCCCCAGGAACAGTGCGTCCAAGACATTTCCGTTTGGCAGGAGGCGCAGAAGGATACAGGACTGCCAGAACGTGGCCGCTTCCCGACGGCGTCAGCCTAAATTTTGCTAAGCACATGGAGGTCCGCACTCATGGCGAGGAGCCTGTCTTCGAAACATGAACTGCTTGCGTGACTCCAGCCCATGCAGTGTTACTGGAGAGCCGCAGGCGTGGCGTGCTGTGCTGTGCCGTGCCATCAGGATGGCTTCCCCGTGACCCAAACCACGCAGAGGATGAGATCCAGGCTGGTTACCGGAGATGGAAAACGAGGCAGGCTGTCAGGATGGCTTTCCATCTCCCACCAGCTCCCTGGCAAACCGCAGGAGTGGGATGCGCAAGTTGGCTCGGTGCGGGAAGGCAATGGGGGTATTTTGGGAAGATGTGCTGCCAGGTGGGTTGCAGCCGCCCGGAGAAGCCCCATGTGCAGGACCTCACCGTAACCTGCCTGGGGCGGATGATGATGCCCAAGTCCCCGTGGCCTCCCTCTCCCTCCTGGCCCCAGCCTTTCCCCCGCAACAGGGCTCTCTCCCTTTCCCACGGAGGCAGCTTGAGCACCGGGCCCACGCACCGCCGCCGGGCTGGGGGTGTGGGC